AGTGTATAATTTGACTTTGATGAATAAATTAATAAGAATCGAGTGAATGAGTGAGTAAGTGGGTGAGTGAGTGAGTGAGTGAGTGGTCGAGTGCCATTCGAGTGTCTCCAAAAGCCCATGGCATGACTACGTCATCCATGAGCTAAAAAACCTCTGTAGCTTTAACAAACCGTCGACGTCTAGAGTAGTAACCTCGTTCCCAGGATTCTTCCAACGGAGAGACAACCTGGGAACGAATTTAGCCTGTCAACACTTAACTGAACGAGGTTAGTGGGAAAGGAATGTATGACAGCGGGGGAGAATTGGGTGACCCCAGCCCGAGCGGTTGCGAGGAAGACTATTGTCTCCCGCCAAAAGTCTCAGGTTTCTTTCTTTTTTTTTTTTTGAACGGCAGTTCCCGGCCATGAACCTATTAATTTTACTTTTTGTTTGTTTTGAACGGCAGTTCCCGGCCATGGACATATTAATTTTACTTTTTCCGTTTTAAAAGGCAGTTCCCGGCCATGAACATACTAGTTTTACTTTTCCTGTTTTGAATGGCAGTTCCCGGTCGCGAACATAATAATTTTACTTTTTCTGTTTTGAATGGCTGTTCCCGGCCGTGAACAAATTAGTTTCACTTCTGCTTCTATTTCACTTTTATTTTTATTTTCATTTCATTATAACAAAGTTTGTTTTGAAATTTTACAAAATGAATCTATTTCAGTCAGGAGCCTGATGGGCTCCTGTTCCAGTTCAATGAAAACAAAATAATTTGACGTTTTTCTTTCGTTTTATTTTCAATTCAAAATAATTAAAGTTCAATCTAAAATTAACAAATTTATGTCGTGTTGACGTATGGCAGTTGTCGGCCACCATACATAACGTCAAAATCCGTCGCGTAAATGAAAAAAATGCTTTAAAGTGCCTCAGCCATTTTACTTACTATCTTTTAACCAAATACGTTGCGGAGAAAAGAGATAAAAGGCTGAAAACAGCCTTTCATTTCGATTTAAAATTTCAGATGGAGAATGCCCTTTTCGTAGGTCTGCACCTGCAATGACTTGTGTGCTAAAACTCCTTCATGGTGGTATCTCTCAGGCAAAAACGTCCGCCTAGCGGCGAGGAGCGAGGAGACAAGTCCGTGGCCATTTTCGAAAAGAAAAAGAAGTGTAAAGGCAACACCTTCGTCGCTCAGAAAACGTCTGCGTATATAATTTTCTTCAGGCCGTACAGAGTCATCAATTAATGTGCCTTTACGGACCCCTTTTAAATGAGCAGCCAGCATGGCCAGTAGGCTGTTCCGGAACGGAACAACGTGATTTGTTCTCCGCCACCCGGAACCAAACATTTAGCGGTGGTGAGGAAAAACTTTTATTTTTATGCGCCAATTTTGTGGATCAAACAAAGTCTGCTAGCTCTAAATGTAGTGATAAAGACATGGATTGTTGTATGTGTAGGGTTGATCCTAATGGAGAACCCAATGCCAACCAACCCACCCATCTTCTCCTCCTTCCCTAAAGTAGACTTTTCATGACGTTAGCATAATCACCTGAGACCTCTTGTAAAGTTCACTAAAATAATAGCAAGCACCTTCGTAGCCTGTTCACAGACCCTCTACTTTTTCATTAGAGATCGTCCATCTATTTTCTCTTTGGAGATCGTCGATTTTGGGTATGAAAATAAAAGCCGCGGGGGATATATTGACCAGTAGAGCAAGGGGCTCTCTCTCGCTCGCTCGCTCGCTTCGCTCGCGTGCTCGTCTATTTTCGAAACGAAAGAGGAGTGTAAAAGCTGCACATTCGTTGCTCAGAAAACGTGTGCTATATCATTTTCAGTTCAGGCCATACAGAGTCATCAATCAATGTGCCTTTATGGACCCCTCTATGAGCAGCCAGTAGGTTGATCTAGAACGGTACCACGTGATTTGTTGCACCGCTACTCGAAACCAAACATTTAAAGGTGGTGAGGAAAAACTCTTATTTTCATGCGCCAATTTTGTGGATCAAACAAAGATCACCTAACGTAAATGCAGAAAACCTTACTTTTATCATTAGCATGGTAGGGTCGATGTTTGGTTATTGCCCTACATACTCACCTTACTAACAAGTCAGGAGCATACCAAGGTGACTCACGACATCTTTTCTATGATCGCAATACATTCAGCATTACTGCTGCCACAGGCGCCACAAGCCAAGTTTGAATATGTGCGAGATGCTATACGAACATACAACAAAGACTTGCACCGTAAAACACTTATACCAGGAATTTCTTTTCCGGCGCGTTACGCGTCACGCACTTCCGGAATGTCGTCTTCCCTCGTGTTGACAGATTGAAAGCATATGCAAACTTAACTTCGATTCTGCCTTGATGCAGAATTTAGTTAGCGGTACTGTGACCCCGTCTAGCATTTAAATTCAGGTAAGTAAATAACTTTTCTGATTTTAAGGTTTCAATGCGATTAAAACTTTTGCAAGCGAGTATTTCGACAATAATCCCCTCTACTAACTGTGATTTGAACTGCGTATTCGTCTCTTCATTATGGTTTATCGCAAAAATCAGTTGAAAGGAATCATGTTAAACCGCACAGAAACGCCGAAATATAATCTGAAACCGTTACAACTCTGACTAGGGTTTAAATGTCGAAGTAACTTACGTTTGCGAAGGATTAATATTCCAAGCGTCGAAACTTGCTTGTTGCACGCGCTTTCCTGGTGTCAAAATACCCTTCAGGTTTTGGTCTCTCGACGGTGCGCATTTGGAATGCCGCCAGAAATATTTTAACGCAAACAACAGCAAAGGATATGCTTCAATACAGTTCTTGTTTCATATTAAAATTCCGTGTACCAACTGGGTTTTTTACGATGGTGAAGTTAGGTCAAATTTGCCATTTTGAAAAGTGCTGAAACCGTGTTTCTTCTTGCGGCCGGTACAGTCACATTTAAACGGTTTATTTAAAGTTAACTGCTGAATTATAAAGTAAAAATGTGTGTCTCTTTTGTGACGTGATTTCATCTAGAGATATTATTCCGTTTTTATGTACGAGCGCGAAGAAACTGCTCAATTTTCGCTAATTTCATACTCGAAAGAGCGCCGATTTAGAGTTTTTCAAACTTTGCCTGATTCCTGAAAAAATAAAAAGCTGTTACAAGTTTTAACGTGATTTTTGAAATTAGGGTACTATAGAGATTATTTGGGCAATATATGAAGAAATTCAAAAATTCACGACTGTCAACCGATTCTCGAAAATTACAGACATTGGCTCTTAAAGTTCTTTTAATACTGTTAGAAGAAAACAATGTTAAGATATCAAAGATAACCTTTTAAGGCTTATAGCTTATGGGAGGCACAAGATGGCATCTCGGCCGCCATGCGCCCTTTCCAACACAACTTTTTCCACGAAATTCGAACTCCATCGGCAAACAAACATACTAGGATCCTAGAAATAGGATAACATCAGATATAAAAACCAATGAAGCTTTCCCAGATAGAGAAACGAATCCAGTGGACTTTTAACAAACTCGAAGGATATAATCCAAAAAGGCCGAAAGTCGTTCCGTCGAAGTGGCTGGGCCAGATTAACGCCCGGCCAAGTAAATGAGGCCTGGGCACTGTACAAATCAAATCCATCCCGGGTGTCCTGGGTTGACATTTTCTAGGGACCGATACATGGTCATACATAGCTTGACCAAAGTTAGCTTCCCCTGCTGGAAATACATTTGCTAAAGGGCTATTGTTCACTCAGTGAGCCAATCTCGAGTCGCCCGGCGAAACCAGTGCAAGCGCCAAAAAATCACGTAAAAGTTGGTGGCTGCATTTTAGAGTTAAAAAGTTTTTAACTCTTGGGGCAGGCCAACGCTTGACGAACCCCTAAGAACGTCTGCGCGGGAGGCCATGTAGTTTATGGCTTATAGACCCGGAGGGGGCGGGGTACTTGGGTTAATTTTTGCTGGGTATGTGCCGCTGGCCTCTCAGAGCTCCTACCCCATTATGGTCTATTCTGTGGCCAATTATAGACCCCCATCTTAGTCACTTTTGGGCAAATATGTAATTTTCGCGATCCCAACTTAGTCACTTTCTATTTTTATGAACTGACCCATTTTTGTACATTGAATGAAGAACACGTTACTTTTCATCTGCGGTATAAACATTCCGGTATGTTTGCTAACCGTAAATATGAAGAACTCTCTTACCCCCAAAAATCGGGATATCTAGTAACTCTGTTGAAAATGCGACCCTAGACTGCGAGCAGTCTCTTATTTTTCTTTGCACAGTTACTACACGCAACACCTAAGCACGCAGGCGTCGATCTCTATATAAAACATCGTGGTTTGCAATTGCACTGGTTGAGATCAAGAACTAGACGGATTTTAAGAGAAAAGGCGGACTGCAAGCAGTCTATAATGCGACCCCATTATAGTCAACCCAGTCGTGAAGATGCGACCCCATCCAGCGGCACATCCCCATTAGCCTCTTATAAGGAAATACCCCCCGGGCTTATAGAACGAGGAATGTTTTATGAAGCGCGCTTCTTCTGGTTTATGGCTTATACTGAGAACGAGGAATGTTACATTTGAAGCGTGCTTGTTTTGGTAAATGGCTTCTAGAGGGAGGAATGTTATATTTGGAGCACGTTTGTTTTGGTTTAGAAGTATTATAATTTCAGGTTTATTACAAGCACAGCTCTCCCCCACCGTTGGGGGTGGGGGAAGGGAGCTTTTTTAAAATGCGCTTGCATAGTAAGTACATTGAGAATATCGGAATCAAAGTTGCGGGAAAAACCCCTATTGTCATTATAGAAAGCATAAAAAAATACACATCAATATACACAAGAACATCCTAAGGGGTTTAATTTAAGGGTTAGAACAGCAGTCGTCGTTGACAGTCTAGACTGTAAAGTGAAGGGGTGAAATGAAATTTTGATACGGAACTGAGAAATAGTCAATATAAACCTAACAGCAAATTTCTTTAAAAGTACCGTCAAATTGCGGTAGTTATCGATCATTTGGAAAATTCGTTTCTTACTGGTAAACATGCACACACCGTTTGTTTACATCAGTAACAAACAGCTGGCCAGTGCTTGAAACAGCAACAGAACGAGGAGTAGTAAGTTGTGTATGTTGTCCTTCAATTGTGTTTACAAATTTCCCATCAAGAGTGAATATCTGAAGTCTTGCTTTATCACAATCACACACCACCAGGTTATTAAACCTGTCAATTGCAAGACCAACAGGAGTACTCAGTTGTCCGTCACCAGACTCGAGAGTGCTGATACTGTACAGAAACACGCCATTCTCGCTGAAAACCTTCAAGACGCAATGTGCCCAAGAATAGGAAACAAAAATCATATTCTGATGATGTAAAGCATAGCATGGGATTGCGCGCTCAGGATCACAAATGCTAAGTAACAACTCTAATCCATCAGAAGACAGAACCTTCACTGTATCGTCCACCCCGTCACACACCACAATGCGTCCATCACGCGCAATAGTTAAGTGCCGTGGTGACGTTAAGTGTTTGTTGGTGATTATTTTAACAGAATTTTTTGTGATGTCATAACAAAAAATCGTTTTAGAAGCAACAACTACGAGTTCACTTGACCTGGTGAAGGCCACAGATGCGGGTTTAGTTAGTTCTGTACCAATGTCTGTTAGAAACTGTCCCTCTAAGCTAAAGAGCTGTACACTTCTTTTATCGGCCACTGCAACTTTCCCAGACTTTTCATCTATTGCAATACTATTTGGCCAGTAGAATTTTCCGTGTCGTTGCCCAAATGAACAAAACGAAAATAAATATTTGTAACGATGTGGAGTCACTTGAACCCGCCATGGACTACCAGTCAGTGGTTCACCGTTAACCTCAATCAATACTTTATGTTGTCCAACACAGTCTGGTGTGTAAGTGATGCTATATTCGCCGTCTTTGTTGTGTTCAATTGTGTGGCTGAGTTCCTTTTCTGAAGATGACTGAATTTTCAGAAAAATCTGATCGTTTTCATCACAGCACTGGTTTCCATCAGAATCTTTAGTCTTTACTTTGATTGTTGCTTCACTTCCGACGTCTCCTTCTTGCAAACCCGTTCCTTCAGCCACCGACTGCAAAGTATCTGTGCTACCTATAACAACTCGACCCACCACTGAAAGTTCTCTTCTCACATTCTCTACATGCTCTTTATTTCTCTCGTATCTGACATGTGATGGTTTATAAATGTTTAGTTTCTCTGCATTTAGAAGACCTTTGCACCGTCCAATCAGAGCATTTTGAGTTTGAAGAATCTCAACGCTTTTCTTTCTCAATAACATGTCTTCGCACCACTCGACATGTGTTTGTAACTGGTTAATAGAAATTTGAAAATGTTCCAGTTGTGCTGCATGCTCTCAGTGTTCTTTTCCTTCTATGATATCTAAACTGGTTATCATAGCTTTCTCATGTTCTTGTAAAAGTCGCTTGAGTTCCTCAACAGATGTCATAACTTTATTACGTGCTGTAGCAATCCTCTCTCGGTTTCTTTTAAAGGATGTCTTTGTCCTTTTCACATACTCCGTGTAGTCAGCAATTTTACTTTTCATTTCCTGCACAATCTCCTCGATATCGACTTTATGTTGCTCTGCGGCTCGGTCAATAACCACAGTGGGGTGATGATTGTGACGCGTCTGTTTACACTCTTCACAAATGCACACTTTGCACTGTTCACAGAAAGATGTGAAAAGTTTATTCTCGTGAAATTTCTCTCCACAGACCAAACGAGAGTCCAATATCTCCTCCAGTTTTGTGCCATTACCTTATAAAAACCAAAAAACATGACTGAGGTTAGCCTTTTTTATGGAAGGAGCTGCATGTACAATAATTCTATAGAATAAAAAGGAATGAATGTTATGCCCTTTTGGCGTTTTCACGAGGTTATATAATGGCATATTTTCACTGTTAAGGGGTTTACAGGGTTCACACACGGGCTTGGTCCCGACACAAATAAAAGAATTACCATAAGATGAGACGGGCAGGCGCAGAGGTATCAATGTATAATGATGGCGCCAACGTTAGATCGCCAAGGAGCGAGATTCCGTGACGAGTGCTATGTTTTCGTGTCCGAACGACGCAGTTGATAATCACAAAATACTTATGTCTACATCGCCCCCACACTTGCACACCGATTTATATGCTTGCGTCTTTCTCCCACTTTTAAACAAACCTAAAGGCTTGGTGTATGGCAGGCCTATATACTGGGACAGGAATGTTGTTCAATCTCTCTTTTTTTTCTTTTCTTTCTGGCACAGTGAGGAGGAGTTTGAAAGGACAACATTGTATTTACCCTTTCATTGGCTGCGAGCACCGGTATGGCGTGCTCACCCTCCCGTCAAGAGGGTGTTTTGCCCAAAGTCAACTTTGTTTCTTGTTTCAAGATTATTTTATTCAAACTATGCTGATGTCTTGCACGCTAACTTTCAGGCCTTGGTGTTCGTTTAATAGTTGTATCTCTTTGTATTTACCTTCAGCATTCGCCTCCCTGGCAGGAATCGTATTTGGCACCACTAAGTCACCAAGCTTCTTTGCGAGGTCTTTTACGTCAGTGCTAATTTCTTTTACGGCTTCTTTTATGCCTGTGCTAATTCTTTTTACGTTAGCGCCTATTTCTTTCAATTCATCTTTTATGTTATCTTCATCATTCTTCCACTTATTAAGGAGATCTTTGTAATGGTGCTCCATATCGGGATCCATACAGCAAAATTGCAGGTTGTCAATAGCGGCCTGCGAGTAGAAGATATCGCATAATCATTCCCTGGTTTGTAGGTGGATTCAACACCGAAACAATTACAGGGCACTAAATGCAGGAATGTAAAATCATACCGAACATTTTCTAAAAATCTTTTACCTCGTAGGTAACTCCTCCTAATCGCACCAGAGTGTCCCGGATGTCTTTCCTATGTTTGTCGAATGTTGCATCATCAACAGAAGCGTGTTCAGCGTGAGCGTACACTGTATTTCTGAGCTATTTGATTCGCGTAATGTCTGCTTCATGGCTGAAGTCTGTGGCCGCAGGAAGGGAGTCCCAGCCAGTAAGTGGGGGAGTCAGACTACAAACGTTTCTTAAGAGAATCATGAGTAAAGTGATGTCAAAATCTCTTGAAGATACAGAAGCAGGAATTGCGGGAAAGAGTTTTCCCCATTGTGTTGCATTGATAATCCTTCGTGACCTAAGAGACTGCAATGTGGTTTGATTGGCTGCTAAGAACGTGTGTAGCGTTGGTGGTCTACAGATTGCATCAAAGGAATCCCTGAGGACACAAGTGCCCACATCGACAAGAACACGGCATAGCCTGGCATGATAAGTTGTTTCTTTGGAGGATGAAGTTGCAGGTGTCGCTGACGCAAAAGCCATGAAAACGAAGTGCTTAATCTATGTCCAGCCTAGGAAAACAAAATATTTCTCGTCAACGTCAACCAATCTGGGTGGCCGCGCTTATCAAAGCCATAAAAGTGTATTTTCATAATATGGATGGCAATGTACCAAATTTTAGAGATACTGAGTCTGGATAATGTGATTTTTTCGCCAAGGAAAACGTGGCTGCATGCCTAAAAGCTTCCTTCCCTACTTTCGAGTGCCTTCCCTCTCTCTCCACCAGGGTCTGTACGGGTTGGCGTGCGCTCGTAGACTATTTATTTATTTATTTATTTATCTTATTATTTTGTCACACACAATGAATTACAAGCAGAATAAAAACGATAATAAATAGGTTAATTAACGTTAAATTTAAAATTTGTGCATTACTTGGGAGGAGTGACTGTTAAAGGGGAAAATCCTATCCTGTGTTGTAGGCTTAAGCTTCACCATCAGACGACTTAGAAGCAGTGAATATTTTTAGTGTAAGTTCAATACAGGCTTGAGCAGTCTGTACCAGTTTAAAAATAGGTTTATTGACTGAAAACGTTCTTTTTTTAGTGTTTGTTTATAAATCGGATGATGTAAATTAGTTTCTTGATGCCGTAGAGGAATTCTTTAAATAATTTGTGGAAAGCTGATTTAGCCATATTTAGGGAGTGGATTAATAACGATCAGCGGGCGACTACCACGCTGTTATCAGTTGGAGTTTTTATGTAAACGGTTTTCTCTCTAGCCGTTTACATAAAAACCGTTTACATAAAACCCATAAAACGGCCATAAATCGGTCCGTGGACCACACAGGAGAGATGTAACACACATTTTAAGTAAGGTAAGATGTTTTTTATTGAAATCCTTTCATTTTCGTAAGTTACAGAAACGATAGGTTTTTTTCCCATACAAATCCTTATAGTTTGAACGTTACGCAACAATGCCGATGCTCGCCGATGTTCATATTTCGAGCTTGGGCTACCTGTGATGAAATTTCCATCCCTGAATTAACCCGTATGTCTCATATGAACTGGCATATCAGTCTCCAAACTAAGTGCAGACTCACTTATGACGTATAATATAAGACATGCATGGAACTGAACCTAAACACATTCAGTGCATGCTATGTTTTCTGTTCCTCTGTGTTTATTTACTGTTCATGAAGGATCTTTCTGTTGTATGAGAAAAAATAAAGTTTAAAGAACTGAGCGTAATGTTCACCTTAAGGTGTTTCGATATAGTTTTTCAAAGGCCATACCGATATTTTTCAATCGCTTTAAACCTGATTTTATCCTTGTCTGATCGCTATAAAATTTTCACCAATGATTGACTATAGATTGAAATTTGTCAAAATGTAGTTTAAAGTTAAAGCGATATTACTATATAACAGTAAACTAGGCGATATAACAGTAAACTAGTTGTAGCTTTCGCTAAGTGCCAACGAAAGAAAAAGAATTTGCCTACATCACCGGTTTCAGTAGTCTGCTACACAGCCGTTTTTAGTATCGTCACGCAACGCTCCTCCCCACTAACGGCTGCTGAAAACCGAACTACATTACTTTCCCGTGATTAGCCAATTATACACGCTTTTAATAAGTCTGGGCGCCATCTTGAATTTTCAATGAATGACGTCATTCGCGGAAAGATCATACACGTGGCCAAAATGGCTACCAAAGATGAAAGCTATGTTGACGTTGATTTTGCAGTGTGTTCATATAAAAAGGAATGTTTTTCATATCAAGAGGACTATTTTCTTTATGCGATGTCTTTATGGGTATGTTATCGTAACTTTAAAGCTTTTGTGCTAAGATATTCCTGGATCGATGATATCGAGGGAAAACGAGAGCTGATTTAATTTTAAATGCAAAGCAAAAAGATGCGAATTAAAGTTTTGGCTTAATCGTCGTGGCTTACGTCAACAGACACGAGCTTAACTTCTTCCCAAGTAATCTTTTTTAGCAATGGTTTTGATACTTTTTCATTTTTTTATGCGGGCCTTTACTTAAAAAGCTGAAAACGATTAATTATTACCGCTTGTAAGAGACTTAGATTATCTATCAGGTATTATCAGTTTTTTATGTTACTATGTAGATGTTTGAGGGTAAGAAAGAAGCTGGATAAAAACGTTTATACTCCAGTCGATCCTTGCACAGAATAACTTTTCACTCTGGGAAGGCGTAGCTCAGTAATCCAGGAAGCCATCAGCTCGACTCCTGGTTAGAGATGTAGCCACTAAAGAGAGCTGGAGCAGGGATGCATCAATTCTTACAAAGCACTCTACTTACATTTACATTGCTGAACAAGCAACTAAAAACTCAAAAAACACCCGCGAAAAGGGATACAAATTTTTATTTGAAAATGACTGTCACGACGATTATTGTAGGCTTATATGGACAACAAACTCATGTAGAGGGGAATGCTTTAAATCACTGAAGAAGAATGAAAGGTCTCACAATGTTAACAGTTGTGATAAATGCTCTTGTACAGCAGGAGGAAATGGTTACTGTAATCACATGTTTATATTATATAAGTGTTTGAATTCACTGAATTCCCAAGAACTGGGATGCGCACAACTCAAAACAGTAGCATAAACCAAGGACCTAGGGTACGAACCCTAATTCATATAATGCATACAAGGCATACAATGTCGTCAGTCCTTATTACAGGGAGAAATGGGGGCTTTAAGGTGTCCCTCTTGTATGCAGCCAGGCAACATACTTTCCAAAACAAAGAGAGGGCGAATTAGTTCCTTCATTCACTTAAGACAATTAACTGTCCTGCAATAGTTTCAACTTAATTAACTGGACACAAGGTTCCACGGGTAGTGAGTTAGAGATCTGTCTCTAATGGAGGCAAACTTCAGTGTTATGACCACTATTCCAAGTTGCCAAGACCTAGAGCTGTTGATGGCTCCTTTCCTGATCATGAATTCCCAATTGACACTGACACACCAGCTTGAGTGGGATTGCAAATGCCCCTATTTTCAGGAGGAGCAATTTATAAGTTGTTTTAGAATTCCTAATCCACCCTTAATTGAGAATCAAAAGGCCAGAGCAAAAATACCTTGTGGTTTCAAAGTAAAAGGTTCAGGTCAACTAGCTGTAATTTGCACTTGTTTGCGAATGGAAACTAAACATCTCACACTGCAAACAAGGTTTGTTCAAAATACTCTAGTGTCACAGAATGATGTTTCTAATAATATTGAACGGTAAATTGGTCTTAAGCAACAACTAAGTATGCTGAGTACATGAAAAATATTGGTTTGGCATGTATATTTACATGTACATATACATTCATATTCAGGGCTTAGAGTGTGGTGCTGTCATATCAAGCACAATGTCATAGTTGGCTGCTTTACCAAACAGAAGAGTGATAGATAATAAATATCAAGTTATGGTTTATTAGAAATCAAATGCCCTTTTACATTATGAAACTTGACTCCTGAGAAGGCAAGTTCTGATCCAAGGTTTTGTTGTCACATAGTTAATGGTAAGCCTGAGCTCAAAAGGGTCCACCTTTTTAAGGTTCATTTGGGTTGGGTAGGATTAAAGTGGTGCTGCTTCAATATTCTTAAAAAAAGACTGGTTACCAGGGCTCAAAGTTAGCGACTAACTGGTCGCATATGCGACTGGATTTTTGGTTGTGCGCCTAAAAATTCATGTGTAATCGCACCTGCGCCAAAGCACAGTGCGACTGACTTACTTCCGACTATCCTTACGAATTCGAACTTGAAAGACGGTGTATGTTTAATTGGTCTTTTCTCCCAATGGATTCTGCGAACTCGAATGTCCTTTTTCGTTTCGATGTTTTACTCCATCCCAGACTCTTCTGTTTTGTAATAAACACCGCTGACACATGCAAATACATGCTACGAACGAAACACGTACTTTTTGCGCAATGGACGATCATGTCGAACGTTCAGTTTTAACGTCAATCAAAACAAAAACAGTGCGGATTAACAGCCCTTTTTTCCAGGTAAGAAAGTTTTTTAAGTCGTATTCCAGTTACATGTAAGTCATTCTGCATTTAACAAATTCATTAAAGATTAATTTTCATTCTCGTTCGACACACTCATTGTTGTCAGTTTCGAATTGTTTTTCAAGTGTAATGTATCGGTCAAATCGAAGCTTCAACATCCCCCCCGGGCAAACCCCGGGTATTTGACACCTTTGCCGTCCCGGGGAGGAGGGAATTTGATTATCAGAGTCTTCCAGGGGGTGAGGAATTTGATCTCCATGCGTTAGGGGTGGGGAATTTGAACTGCACCCACGATTTCATGTGAAATCTCTGGCGTGGCGAGCTATCATGGAGGACGCGGTGTTGGAGGATTTTCTTGGAAAAGATTGTGCCTTTGTGGCCAATTGGTTACGAGGAAAGGGCCTAAACAAGCTTGGTTTTGAATATATGAATGTTTAAAAGTTGTGTTTACAATGACCTATTACCGGCGATTCAATGCAACAATAAAAAGCTCAACAGAGGTCAATATTACTTTGACCTGCCGCATGTATAAGGTGAGCGATGATTCATGTCAGTGAAATGGTCATGATGTAGTAGGTAGGATTTTTTTATAGAACGTTTTCTATGTTGCATGACACACGAAGAAAAGCTGAGCATCCAGTGACCTTGTAGCAGCTATTTCCGCCGCTTTGCACGAGAAGTTTGTTTGTAGTAAATACGCTAACAGTGTTTCTCAGTTTTCGTTATATTGAATGCGAATTATTTGCTGTATTTATAAAGATTTTGTTCGTCAACTGAAGGCGTTTCTGCCGTCCTTCTGTCATTATGCGCCTGTGAAATGTCTCCGGGGTGGGGGCATTTGATCACCTGAATGGACCCTTGTGTGGGGCATTTGAACGGCATTTTGGCCCGGGTAGGGGGAAATTTGAACAATAATTTTCAAAAAAGTCAAATGCCCGGGGGGTTGCCCGGGGGGGCATGTTGAAGCGTCGATTTGACCGATACATAAGTTTTCTTTCAAGGTCACAACTGTACTGTCAAAAAGAGAAATT